GCTGGTCACGCCCTGGTCATTTTAGTTACACTCCAATAGTTAATGTCTCTGAGGTGTCGTGTATGTGCGTGTATCTGAGTGTGCACATGAATTATATCTGTATACAAATTAATTGATACTTACATACGCACACATACTATATGAATGATAACAACAAATAGGAGTGAAAGAAAAAATAAAAAAAACATTTATTTAAGAACAGAGAGCAGGTTTTAAAATACTTGTCTTCTCTGAATTTACAATGTAGTAGGCACAAAATGTTTACATTTCAACGCATTATTGAATAGATAAATTAACTCGGTGGGAATGAATGAATACAATAAGACTGTCAATTAAAAGAGCAACTTCAACCAACCCACCGGGAGATTTCCCTGGGACTCAAATAAGACAAACACCCTGAGGATGGCAAGAATAGGAGCTAAAAATAAAGCTGCATTTTATCTGAGCCTTCTTATATCCCAGCCTTGCATAAATCACTATAGAATACTGCCATAGTTGGGTTACCTCTGTCTCCCAACACAGAGGCACTAACATCCCCAAGAGTCAGCTGCTGGCATCCTTACTGTGGTGCAACTCAGATGGGCAATTAGGAAAATTGTGAAGACCAATAATTCACTAAACAGAAAGTGTAGAATTTGACAGATTTACTGAGAATGAAAAAATGCTGGAGATGGGTAATGGGTGCCTGCCCCAGATCATAACATCATTCAGAGAAGCTCGGGCTTTTAAGAATTTTGAGCATCCAGAGACAGTTCTTCCTTAACAAAGTAAAGTAAAATTGAAGAAGTTTGTTTGTATCACTTGGAGATTCAATTACATGAGTACTTAGGTGGTGTATGTGTTTCCAGACGACACTTAATGCCCATGTGAACTATGTCAAGTTACTTCATTTTTCTGAACCTGAAGTTTCTTCCCATATTAAAATGCAGGTAATAATGTCTCCCCCGAGTTAGGGTGAACATAAGTTGGAATGAGGTGTGTGAAATGGACTAAAAGAGTGGAGTCTCTGTTAAAACGAGTTTCTTCTTCCCTAAATTCCTCCTTTTAAGTGTGGGAGGCAGGCTTGGGAACATTGGCCACACTCCACTCACTGCCACAAAGGGATAAGATCGCAAATACAGACTGGATGTCTTGTCTGAACCACAGCCTCTTGCCCCATCCCTTCTCCCCACAGCCATGGGTCCACCCCCAGAGCATGGAGACCACATGTAAAGGGTTAAACTATTCTTTCTTTCCTAAGCAACTCCTACAATAAACCTGACCAACCACAGCCATAACTGCCCAACTGCTTCACTTTCCCTGAAATCTTCTAGGATAGGGATGGACAGAAAATATGAGAAATTGGAAAATAGGGCAGAAGGAAGAGATGAAATGGAGAATTTCAGATTCCAAAGAGGCCTCCTGATGACCTTCACCTGCCCAACCTATAATGGTAACTCTGAGCCTAAATGACATGCAGTAGGAATTGTGAGCTTATGAAATAACTAAAGTGTCAACTGAATCTTCATTGCCCATCTTCACCCATGACCTCTCTCTCTCACAGTGAGACAGAATAGCACGCAAGACCCGGAGTGGTCACTATTTTGTAGCTATTCTGAATTTTTCAACCCCACACCAAAACCAAGATCACGAGTTTATCAAGAAGAACATACCCTATGTAAAAATTAATTAATTAATTAATTAAAAAACAGAAAAAAACATTATATCAGAAAGTCACAAACTTTTAATTTTTATATATAGCCTGATTATCTCCTTTCATTTCCCACTTAAAATTGTATGAATTCATGTTTTACCTCACAAACAACTTTAAAATGGCATTATTAAATGACATTTCCTGAACTCTGATAGTTTCACTTACTCTAAGGCTCTAACTTCTCATGTTCAACTCTGACCCTTCACACTCACATATTCAGTAGGTTGAAAAAAAAATATCAACTTTGTTTTGCCATTGGTTCTTTAGGCCCAGTGTGTCTAGAAATGAATTGGACAACTTCTTTCTATACTCCCCATTTCAGTAAATGGCACACATTTACCCAAACAACCAGACTGGAGACCTGTGAGTGTAGCACTTCGCTGCCTAAAACCATCATTAGCACCCCATTGCCCTTAGAATAGAGTCCGGTTCTGCAACAAGGTAAAAAGACCTCCAGTTGTTTCTCACCAATTTTACCTTTTGTCACTTGTGCGTTCTGGTGATAACTAAACTGATTCTAGTCCCCTGCACAGGTCACATACTTCACTTCTATTCTCTTTGCCTAGGACATGTTTCTCATCTCTTTGTATCTGCAAGCCTACCTTCTAGGTTGGGTAGGGGTAGACTATGTACATGGTGTTTGAAAACATCAGCAATGCATTAGCCATATGTTGCCTCTGTGAAGAACCTCATCACCTAAGTAAAATGTCAAAGAAGCCCATTCCTTACAGAGTTTATTCAGTTTGTTTGTTGCCTCTGTAGCTCCATATGATGTAAACTCCATGAGAGGAAGGATTTGATCTGTTGTGTTCATTGCTATTTCCCCAGCATCATGGCCAGATGAGCAACCAATGAGACTATGCAACTCTCCCATACCACAGTATATGAAAATTTCATGTTCATGTGGCAGTACTGTCACTGTTGTTTTGTTTTGGTTTTGGGGTGGTTTTTTGTTTTTTGTGTTTTGTTTTGCTAAACTGAATTTTCTTTTTTTTTAATTTTTTTAAATTTTTATTTATTTATGATAGTCACAGAGAGAGAGAGAGAGAGGCAGAGACACAGGCAGGGGGAGAAGCAGGCTCCATGCAGGGAGCCCGATGTGGGACTTGATCCCGGGTCTCCAGGATCAGGCCCTGGGCTGAAGGTGGCGCTAAACCACTGAGCCACCTGGGCTGCCCACTAAACTGAATTTTCTGAGGGTAGAACCTGCAAGTTTCTGTATCTCGTGTTTTTTTTTTTTTTAAAGATTTTATTTATTCATGACGGAGAAAGAGGCGCAGAGACATAGGCAGAGGAAGAGGCAGGCTCTTCGCGGGGAGCCTGATGTGGGACTCAATCCCGGGACCCCAGAATCACACTCTGAGCCAAAGACAGATGCTCAAACACTAAGCCACCCGGGCATCCCTATGAATTTTTGTATCTTTATACCCTAATATCTTATATAGTGCCTCTAGCACAGTTAGCTCTTGATAAATATTTGTCATATTAAATTGAAGTTTAAAAAAACATTTTTGTCAGTAAAGAAAGAACCTTTACATTTCTTGAGATTCATAGACCTTGTTAACATTTTCATTCTGTCTCTTAGCTGTGAGACCTTCAGCAGGTTATGGAGCTTTCCTGAGCCTCAGTACCCCTGTTTGTAAAACAAGCAGGAATATATTCCCTACCTCATAGACTTCTACAAAAAGTAAATGCCACAATCTGGAAAGTGCTTATCGCAGTGTCTGGCATAGAGAGCTACTCAAGATTTGCTGGCTGTCACATTTCCACTGGGTAGATAATGGTGTTAATAAAGAACGCTCATATATAATGAATAACAGAAAAATGTGAAAAGGGCCTTCCCTCAAGAGAATGGTGTTCACAAAACATTTAGGAAATTCTCCTGAGCATGAGGGATAATCAGAAGAGGGAAGCCCTTCTGCTGTGGGAAGTTCTAGCAGCAGGCTCTCCTCAGCAGGGCCAGAGAAGCTTCTGCAGCTGCATAATCATGATTAAATAGGGCAGCTCTTTCATCTCCCTTTGTCGGCAAACCTTCAGGAGACAGTGGAGTTTCCTATCTACTTACACACCAATTAAGCAGTCAAGTTCAAAAAGATGTATATGTATATGTTTCTAATTCCTGGATTGTCAAATATAACCGTACTGAAAATCTGTAACTCCATTTTTTGCTCACTGACACTTTTTCAGGTCAATTTGACTATCTTCTTTTTCTCTTTGTGCCTTGAGAATTTCTGGCAAGGTGTGCTTTTCCTTTGCTCTTAAAATTGCAAGCTCCCTAAAGTCAAAGATCATGTTTCCCTTCTGCACTGCTGGAACCAGTAGCCCAGACACTGTCCAGACTCTGGCAAACAGGGTACCCTGGTATCTGCTCTATAAATGTTTATGAGATAAAATTTTTGAATCCACTTATTGGTATTTTTTTTTCAAAATTTTATTTATTTATTCATGAGAAATACAGAGAGAGAGAGAGAGAGGCAGAGAGACACAGGCAGAGGGAGAAGCAGGCTCCCTGTGTGGAGCCCAATGTGAGACTTGATCCCAGGGTCCTGGGATCACACCCTGAGCCAAAGGCAAGTGCTCAACTACTGAGCCACCCAGGCGTCCCTACTTATTGGTATTTAATCCTACACTAATCTGCAGAATAACTTGAGTATATAAATTATGTCAAGGAATTCATGCATGAAAATATCCACAAGAACTGTATTATATGAAGTTCTGTAATATATGAGCACAGCTGTTCTGATGGTCCCCATCATGGACACTGTCATCCAGTCTGCTGGGTTTGTATGCTCAGAGATGAGCAACAGATACCTGGAGGAGGTGGTTCTCTTTGGTGAGGAGTTAGACTAGTTTTAAGAAAGTCCTTTCATCTCTCATCTTCACCCAATGTGTAACTTCTCTGAAGATTTTCCAAGGTACTCACAGGAGCTCTGTGACAATCAAATGCTTTCCAATGCACATATTCAGTTCATTCATTCATCTGTTCATGTTTTGTTTTTGTTTTGTTTTGTTTTGAGAGAGAGAGAGAGAAAGAGAGAACATGAGCAGGGGATTAGGGGCAGAGAGAGAGAGAAACAGAATCCCAAGCAAGGTCCATACCCAGCACAGAGCCTGACACTGGACTTGATCTCACTACCCCGAGATTACGACCGGAGTCAAGAATCATACGCTTAACAGACTGAGTCACCCAGGCCACTCCACAGATTCAGTTCTCTTACAGTTTCTGTGAGAATCAGAATGAAGCTTGAAAATAGGGAGCAATTTTTTTCCTTTTTACTTAAAAACAGGAATGAGGAGAATAACGTACCTGAACAGAAGTCATCGGAGTATCTGTCATAGACAGCCCTACAGTCCCTCTCGTCACATTCACAGGTGTCCCCATGAATATCTCCCCAGTCTCCAGTTGGGTCAACATCGTGGCAAGAACACTCACCACACACACAAGTCCCTGGATGGGAAAAAAAATTGTATATGGTTTTAGTGAAGAAAATCATGGAAGAAAGCATCTGACATATTGCTTTTTAAAATCTTTGTTTACTGTATATTTAGAAAATGCATATAGAGAAAAAATTCTATCAAGGAAAAATACCATCTAAAGTGGACAGTAGAGATTTTTTAATAAACAAAAGTCTGTATCTCTGTCTATAATTGTGTGGGATGTGTCATTAGCACAGCACTGATTTCTCTCTAAAATAATATCAAAACAGAATGGATAAAGAAGATGTGGTTTATGTATACAATGGAATATTACTCAGCCATTAGAAATGACAAATACCCACCATTTGCTTCAACGTGGATGGAACTGGAGGGTATTATGCTGAGTGAAGTAAGTCAATCGGAGAAGGACAAACATTATATGGTCTAATTCATTTGGGGAATAATAGTGAAATGGAATAGAAGGGAAGGGAGAAGAAATGGGTAGGAAATATCAGAAAGGGAGACAGAACATAAAAACTCCTAACTCTGGGAAAGGAACTGGGGGTGGTGGAAGGGGAGGAGGGCGGGGGGTGGGGGTGAATGGGTGACGGGCACTGAGGGGGGCACTTGACGGGATGAGCACTGGGTGTTATTCTGTATGTTGGCAAATTGAACACCAATAAAAAAATAAATTTATTATTAAAAAAATAAAATAAAATAAATAAAAAATAAAATAATATCAAAACAATGAACATGAGTTAGAATCCTTGCCCTCAAGAAGCTTGCTATCTATTCAACAAAAAGAAAGCAATGAAAGGCTGTAGGGTCATGTACAAAAATGTAAAGTGTTGTTATACCTGGATGTTTAAAATGTATTTTAAAACACCCATATCTGTATTTTAAACATTGAATACATGTGGCTCTCATATAGAATAATTGATGCAGGAGCAGGGATGAGGATGGGTATATGCTAAAGTAAGTCCAGCATAAAACCATGGCACTGCAAGACATATATCCCACCCCTGATTAGCTGTGTCTATAACAGGTGTTTTGGCCTTGGAGATATGCTAACAAAGATGAGGTAGGTTTGTGCAGGGATTGGGGCCTCTCTCTTGCCCAGTAAGCAATGATGGGGAAGAGTATTAGGGGAGACATGGCCAGTACCTTTTGAGAAAAAAGGACTCCTGGCAGTACTACCCCCAGCTCATCTCCAGGAACCCCTGAGTCTCACTACTACCCAGCCTTATTTGGGCAGGCTGCTTCTTGTTTGGCTGTTGGCAGATCTCCACATTGGGCAGTTCATGGGAAAGGGGAGGTAGGAGGCAAAACTGCAGAGAGGGGGCACGTAGTGTATGTTTCTGAAGGACACCAGTCTCAGAGCCCACCTGCTGCAGAACCTGGCCTGCATCACGGCCCTGCATATGCCATGGTCCAACCATTTCCACTTTTCTCCTCTCTCTTTTGCAACACCTAGATGGTTACTCCCCATGGGAACACAGCACAAGCTGCAGGCGCTGACATCCTGATGGTGACTACTGACCCTATTATATTAAGAAAAAGGCCTCAGGCACAATAAATCCTTATATAGTAAAACAAAACATAACACGAATTGGTATGATGTATAGTCAGACCAATTCTGCATACATTAAAAAGACTTTCTTTATGATTTTTTTTCTCTTTATGATTTTTGCTCCAAGGTCAGGCCTTTTGCTTTCCTTTCCCTGTGTGCAGAAATATGACCCATTTTACTCTTCTGTATCAATATTTTAATGCCAAATTGTAAAAATATAAAATCTGGGCAGCCCTGGTGGCCCAGCGATTTAGCGCCGCCTTCAGCCCAGGGCCTGATCCCTGCATGGAGCCTGCTTCTCCCTCTGCCTGTGTCTCTGTCTCTCTCCCTCTCTCTCCCTCTCTCTCTCTCTCTCTCTCTCTCTCTCTCTCTGCCTCTCATGAATAAATAAATAACATCTTTTTTTTTTTAAAGATAATATTGGTTATGTGTTAAGGTTCTCCATGTAGGTGTTACCTATTAAAAAGCACCATTCATTTACAGAAATGAAAAAAAAATATATAGTTTTCCAACTTCCTAGATTTTTATAATTTTATAGAAGGAAAAATGGTCACTTATTTATGTCATCAGGTTGGCAAAGAACAGTCTCGCACAGCCCTCTTTTATTTACCAGAACATCTAATAAGGGGAAAAAAGATAAGTATTTTCAAGGACTTTTTAAAAAGTGTTTAAAACTGATTTGATTTGATATCAACAATTAACTCACTTTACATTACATTTTGGTAATACTAATATATTCTTAAAATTCATGTCAGAGGTCAGCCTAAATTTTCGATGGCTACCTGACATGTGGTTTCTGTATCTGTTCAATATCATTTTTATTACTGTAAATAAAAGTTAAGCAACTCCAGATCAATTCTAAATAACAACCAAGCCTTCAATTTACTCATAATTAAGATAAGAGAGTTTCTTGAATACTCTCTAGATAATTAGATTCTCATGCTGGAAATGGTTCTGTTAGTCAAGAGATGTTTAAAAAAAGTATCTACAAGAATCGCCTTTTAGCTGTCCCATGCTATTTCTGGGTGGCCGCCAAAGAAATTACAGTCCCTACATTAACTATTTGGTCAGTGAAGCTTAAAGAACTATACAGTAACTTTTTTATATTTCTGCTTTGTTACTCAAGAAAAAATTAAAAAAAAAAAAAGAAGATTATTGGTGTGGCAAATGGGGACTCACATCAAAGTCAAACACCATGAAAGATAATTTCCTCCTACCCCCAAAGGAAATCCAGAGAAAAGAGGTGTTAACAATTAAGAGCTTTGTTCCCTCTCCCAATCCGTAGTAATGTGATTGAATGACACACCTCTATTACTGCAGATTTTGCCATCTGGAGACGTGCATCTTCGCTTGCTCTCCCAGGGGGTGATATCACACTGGAATTCACATTTATCTCCATGCCAACCAGACCCGCAGTAACAGTTTCCACAGTAACACTTTCCATGGCCTTTACCCAAAATGAATTTTATAGAGTGAGGAAAAAAATGCAACTTTTAAAAGCAAAATTAACTTTCTACCTCTTGGTGATCATTTTTGCCTTTTGAAATACAATGTACCTGCTCTATGGTCTTTGCTTAAAATAATGAAGTTACATATTTGCCCCTAAAACATCATATTTGCACATATACCTACATAATTACACACACATAGCAAGCCAAAGTGTCCTCTAACTTGTCCTCACTAAATAACTCATTAAAATGAAAGAAATTTCAAGAAAGGACATGAAAGACTGTGAAAGCTTGTCTAATACCTTCTGATCTCAAAAGTACGCATCAAAGTCAAACGTATGTAAGCATTCATTCTAAGGGCATTTCTGGAACTGGTCATCCAAGTATTTCATTTGTAATCAACCACTGAAAAACCAGTGATACACATTTACTTGGATGCACATTATTAATGACTGAACCATTTCTTAAACTGGAGGAAATATTTCATCTTTCCATTCAACCGTTTCCCACATGCTGTTGTGTTCCGCCACATGGAAAAGAGTTTTTCGGCTAAATCAGTGTTTACTACTCCTTTAGGCCAATAAAATACCATGGACCCTTGACCTCACAATTAAATTCCTCTCCCATTTGTCAATGGGACATAAATGATAGGTAAGGACGTCCCATCATTTTGTGTTCTGATGTCACCACACTCCCTTTGGCTCCTGCCTCCTAATAAAATTTACCCTGTTCATTTGTACCTCCTTCCAAGCAACCCCTAATGAACTGTCATATCCTCACTTACTACATCCATACCTAGCAATCTTACAAGTTCCCAGAAAGTGCAATTCTATTAACCTCAAGTCACTTCTTAGGTCCTCCCTTTCTGTAGTTATGCCACCCATCCATGAACGTGTGTTTGTTCTTGTAAAGATGAGGTTCATGCTGAATTTTGCTGAGTCTATTCTTTTTGTGTCATAGAAATGTATGTTTTATCAGAGTCTACAGCTAAAGTCTTTGTTCTTCCCTCTCTCTTCTCCTGCAGCCATAATCGCAGAGGGCCCGTGGGAAACTGATCGTCAGGCCATCTTTCTTTCTAAACATTAAGGCATTTCTGGCTCATTGCAGGAGTATCAGTAGGGCCTGTGGAATCACACAAGAAGGGGGAAATAAGATAGAACATTCTGGTCTCTTTTGCTAGTCTCGTCCATGAGATGAGGAAATGCAAACATACATCAGAGAGATAAAGAGAGAGAATGAGAGGGAGAGAGAGAGAGAGAGAGAGAGAGCTAGAATGCAATATAAGAAGAGGCAGGGACCTAAACACAGGATGCCAAGTTCTCTATCTAAATGAACTGTAATTTGAATTTCCATGGAAAACTTCCTATTAACCTAAAAGTCAATGATCATCTATACAACAAATTTTCATTTTAATTCGTTCACTTAGGCAAATGTAAGGACCATTAATGATTTCACCAGTGATAAAATATAAAAGCTATACATGTTATTTATGAACTCAAAAATATCTCTCATGTACCCACACAAAATATCACATCCCAGTGCTGTCTCCTCAGGAACTTACACTGGAAAACAGTAAGACAACTGCATACTAAAAGCTTTTCTAGAAGTCTGGTTTTTTAAAAGATTTGATTAACTTCTTAAACTAGAATTTATTTCCCTGTAATTTTAGGAAATTTATGTAAGGTGTTACATACATAAGGATTACCACAACATTAAATAATCACAAATCTACATTCTTCACACCCAATTTCCTTGTATATTTATAAAATTCAGAATTGAAATAGGGTTTTACTAAAAAATCATTGAGATACAGGCAAATAAGGAAAGAAGAATCGGGGCAGTCCCGGTGGCTCAGTCGTTTAGTGCTGCCTCCAGCCCAGGGCATGATCCTGGGGACCTAGGATCAAGTCCCGTGTTGGGCTCCCTGCATGGAGCCTGCTTCTCCCTCTGCCTGTGTCTCTGCCTCTCTCTCTCTCTCTCTGATGAATAAATAAATAAAATCTTCTTTTTTAAAAAAAGGAAAGAAAAATCATGTAAAAATACATTTGTTTGTAGGTATGAAAAATTAAGCAGATATCCTCACAACCCAAATGAAAATAATGTTAATAAGCCACATCTGGATAATTGAGATAAAATATACATTCCAGACAATAAATATAATTCTTTGCTTTGTGTAAACTGATGGAGAAAGAAAATCTCCTTTTAGTTGAGGGTCTGCCTTCAGCTCAAGGCGTGATCCTGGAGACCCAGGATCGAGTCCCACACTGGGCACCCTGCATGGAGCCTACTTCTCTCTTTGCCTATGTCTCTGTCTCTGTCTCTGTCTCTGTCTCTCTCTCTCTCTCTCTCTGTGTGTGTGTGTGTGTGTGTGTGTGTGTCTCATGAATAAATAATAAAATCTTTAAAAATAAATAAATAAATAGTTTCACTGATGGGCTGCAGAATCACCTCTCAACAGACTGGTTTCATGCGAATGACATGTAGAAAGAGTGACAATCCCAGTCAAAGTCACCCCCAGAGGATATTTACTGGACTGCTGGCGTCTGTGGTTCAGAGCCTTTGCACCATGAAATTGCTTAAGCCTCAAACAAATGCAAATGGTACTAGTGACAAGGTTGGGAGTCAAACATTTCCTGTTGTATTGCTTTGAGTTAAATGGTTATATTTACACACACAAATAGACTTTGCTTTGGTGGTATGCATCGGAACACACTAGCCCCAAGCATGTTCCTGATTCTTTTTTGATCTATAATTACTGGAAATGAAACATCAGGAGGATAAATATCAGGAGGAAACATAGTATTTGTGGGTGGATTTATCTAATTGTTCTGATTATTCTGCATTAAGCCCATTAACAGAATTGTCTGAGTAGCCTCTAGCTTAGGACATTGCTTTGAAAAACGTAAATGTTTGTGTTTGTCTGTTTTATCTTGGTGGATTGCACAAGGAAACCAGAGGTAATGAAGCAGACCTAAAATACAAGGGTCCGGATGACCACAAGAATTGAAGCTGCAATTTGTTTTTGTAGACAGAGGGACAGCTTGTCCTAAGTTAGTGACACTTTATGGCTCTCTGGTTTCTCCTGTCCCATTTGCCCCTTATCCTGCTAGGGAAAAATACTCTTTTGAAATCACCCACTCTGCATGCAGAATAGGAGTCCATGCATTGGAGTCCTGTCAAAGATAAATGAAATAAACAATTATTTATTAATGGAGAGATGAAGCCAGAGGTAACTAGGCTGAAACGTTTACATTTATTTAAACTGGAGGGGTTCTCACTGCTGTCTACTTTCCTACTAACCTGTGCTAGCCACGATTGCAAATATAAACTCTGGGAACAGGCCTCCAGATAGGTAAGCCAAAGAGAAGGACACTCTGGGTGATGAGGAGGGGTTCTTCTCATGAAGCTCCAAATTTCAGGCGCTAATAACAATTCTCCAAGGTGTGGGGGCAGTAGCGGGTGTCAACAGCACAGTCTTTGGTTTCAGACAGACAAGAGTCTAAATTCCACAATTGCCGGAATGACCCTGGGTACATTACCCAATGTTTGTGAAGAACTTATTTCAATGCTTGGCACCAGGAAGTGTGGCACATGCAATAACTAGTTCAACAGAAAAATGGATTGAGCAATGGTGTTAGGAATACCCTAGAAATATAGAAAAGATCATGAAAAATGTTATCTAAGTATGTGAAGGGGAGGGATAGACTGTAGGCTAGTAATCTTTTTGGCCTCAAAGTCTCCAATAGGACATGAAACAATTTAAAGGCTTCTGATTTATAAAGGGAAATAGAATGAAGTTAACACATGCAATTGAGAGATCAGGAGAAAAGTGACAAAATCAAAGTGGCCGTGGTAAGCAGGGAAGTTGAAGTACTGGTAGGATCACTGTGGAATCAAACAGCTGGTCTGTTGCCATAATGACCTGGCTCCTCTCTGGGAAGAGTCCGATTTGCATTTAAAAAGTACTAGTCTATCCTAAATGTCTTATATAAGGGGTTTTCTGAATAAGCATAAATTCAGATTAAATGAGTAAACTTAGTGTAGAAATGTATACAGAGACAAAAGTACAATAAAACAGGTGAAAATCAAGTTATTTACTAATTTCTGTGCAGTTAGTATACCTACCTCCACATATTTCTTCTGTTTCATCATCTATGCATTCTCTATCATCACACTCACAAAATTTACCATAAACGAGGCCATTTCCATCTGGATTATCACACTTACACCTGCCACAGTGGCATGTACCTAAACCATGAAAACAAAGCAAAAAGTATTTGTTAAATGCATATAAATGATCACTGATAATTTTTAATCTACTTCTTTCAGAGCCAGAGACAATTCAAGTCAATTTATTATTCCAATTTTGTAATTCTGTGGGTAGGATGAGATAGATAACAACATTCTTTCTTGATGATTATAGTACAGTAATCATATTTTATGGCACAGAGCTATTATGATTGACTTCTAATAGTTTCATGAATGTAAATTTGACCTCCCTAAGTACAAAGCTACTTTATACACGGCTATGTGATCAATGGATGAGTGACTATCTTGTGATTACACCTGGGTCTGAAGTGAACTAAAGCAGAAAATTCTAAGCTTTGTGAGGGAAGTAGCCTTGCTTATCTTCCTCGCCAGTATTTATTCAATGCTTTGCACAATATTTGAGCATACTATTCATATAATAAAGATTTGTGGAATTCATCAAATGCATAAATGAAAAACCTAGAATCTCCTAATAATGTCACCTCCACGGTGGTAAACTAATCCACACATCCTTATGACAGTGGGACCAGAGCAAGTTTTCTTAGGTATAGAGCCTGGGGCCTCGCCCAAACCACAGGGTGGCTCAGAGTGACACAGAGGCACTGGAGTCACCTGGTGGACCAAACGCCATAGATTCTGCCAAGGTTGAGGATTTGACTGCAACCGCTGAGAGGGATTTCACTGAGAGGAAAACAGCATTCAAATGATCATGAGAGGCAGAACGTCCATTTAAGGAACTTCCTTTGGAATACTCATTTTTCCATTTTTAATTGATCATCATAGAAGCCAGCAGATATAAACTGAAACTTTACCACTCACCAGATACCATCCTAGACTTTGGAAACACAACGGGAGATCAAGTCAGCCATAATCCTCCTCTCAGAGTTTTATACGAGTAAACCAATGTGATAAAATAAATGGAGAGGTGCAAAGTGTTGCAGAAGAGCTTAGCAGGGGATTTAACTGAAACCTGGTGGTCAGACACAGAGCTTCCCTGGGGAAGTAGCTCCAAAATGACATACTGAGAGCAAAGTAAAAATAATAGGCAAGATAAGTGAGATGTTGGGGAGGCCCACTTCCTGCAAGAGACACCAGCAAAGGCTCTGTGGTAAAAGAAAAAAAGGAAGTAAGAAGAAAAAGTCAAAGACAGCTGGAACATAGAAAATGATGTGGAAAGTGGTATGAAATTAATAAGGCACCTAGAGGTGCAGTTTCCAGAAGTCTTACAGGTCACGTTAAAGATTTCCAACTTTAATACAAGAATAACGAGAAGCCATAGAAATACTTTCAGCCAGTGAGTCAGGTGATCAGATATGCATTTTACCAGATTACACTAGTTGTCATATGCATAATGAAGTGAAATGAAGGGCAGTGGATATGAGGACAGGTTATTACATTTGTCTGCAGGAAAGAAGATAGAGGCTGACCAGGGTGATGGCAGTGAGTTAGAAAGAAGCAGAGACTGTCAGGGGTATTTTCAGGAAAAAGAACAGATAACTCAGGGACTGCCTAAGTGTGGTGAAGGATTGGGAAGATCCAAAGATGATACTGATGTTTGAATTGAGCTCCTGGATACTGGCAGTTTTGTATGTGATGGCCCAGAAAGGGTATGGATTTTAGACGAAGGTGGATTTGTAGCCAAATCCAGGTTTTAGTAGCTAGTATTATACCATGTATAGCCAGTAGCTATACATTTTTGAGGTCATTATGTCCATCTCTAACTCTCAAGTTGCTGCTCTACAAATAATAGCAACCTCACTGAGCTGCTACAAGAGCCCAAAGGTAAACAGATCACCCAGCCATCTTTCTGAAAACACTGTTCATGCAGTTACATCATAGGCTTTCAGAAAACTTTGGGTTCTTCATCTCCTCCCATGAAGATACTAAGCATAGTAGTCATGTTCCCAAACATTTCCTCCAGACTCTCTGTATATTGACCCCACAACGTCCTATCTTCATGCCCTCTGCATGATTCTGTTAGCCAGGTCATTCACAATTAGCTATTATCTTCAAAGAGTTGTGTTTTTTTTCTCACAGTCACATAGAAATGGTGATTTTGCAGAATTTGAGCTAATTCTTTTTCTTCCTTGAGAATACTCATATGAATTTTATGTTTATTAATTTTCCTTTTCTTGTGTGTGTGTTTTTTTTTCCTGAAAAATATTTAATTTATAAAAGTTCATGTCAAATTGAAAACTACAATTCATGGTACTGCCTCATCTCATTTTTTTCTCTAATTATCACCTTTCTTTTTCATTTTCACCTTTATTCATGCTGTCTTACAACCATCCAAACATCTATTCATTAAATTTTCTTGCTGCCTATTATATTGTTGGCAAAGTACCAGGTGCTACAGGAGATAATAAAATGAATACAATTTAAAACTAAGTAAATCACAGACTAGGAATAAAAAGCTTAGATGATCAATAATTGTTACACATACATGAGACCAGATGATGTAAAGTCATTTGCAATAGATCTGTGACAAATACTGTATAGAAAGTATAAACCTCAGTCTGGCTCTGTGAAGGAGGAAAGGCACAATAAAGGAGCAAGTTCTTGAGTTGGCACTTGATATATGGAACGAATTTCAACAGGTGGAGATGGAGAAAAGGCTTTCAATGTTGAGAAAGAAGCCTCAGCTAAGGGATAAGGATGTGGAATTAAAGAACAGTGCAGAGTTTAGCTTGAGTTCGGAGAAAAGGATCAGTTGAAGGCAGAGAGTAGAGGATCAAGAATGTTGGCTCTAGGATTTATCTGTTAGAATACCAGGAGCCTGTCATGGTTTGGAAGCGAGGTGTAACATCGTCAGAGCAGAGTATGCAGGAGCTGTTTTCAGGAAAGATGGAAAGGAACAGACTCTACCTCTAAATTCTACAACTTCTCACTGACACCGTGACAGACAGGCTCACTCACTCCCAGCCACACATCTGAACCATATCTGGCTAACGTGGGACGTTTACAACAGCTTAGAGACTTCCTGTCTCATCCACTAAGTAGAATTCACAACTGAGGCTCCAAGATATGGCAGATGGAAGCCCAGGCAAAAGTGACAGACTCCTGTGCTCATGTTATGTCATACTACTTCTCTTAGTTGCCAGTGAGCTCAGTCTTTAGGACTGGTCTTCTGCTTTATGCTAGATTATTTTTACTCTGACTTTTCATCCTGACTAATAAAGCTATCTCTCTCTAGGAAGTCTTCCTTGTCTTGAACACCACCCATACTCTTTTGCAATGGCAGTGGAGCCCCATGTTGCTCTGCAGGCTATGCCTTGCTTTCTGCACCCCTACAGAGTCAGCTTCTGGAACACCTTCAGTCCCCAGATCCATCTCATCCCACCCTGCAGTCTTAATGCCCCAGTCCAATTCCCTCCTCCTCTCCTTCTGTCCCAAGCTGCTTCCAGAAAACCACATCATGATATAAAGGGGGAAGGATTAGTAGAGAAAACTCAGAGCCTAATGCAGTTTCAGGGGAATAGTCCAGATAGGATAGTAAAAATAGACATTAAAAGAAGCCATGTGAGAAGGAGATTGCTAAATTCAACTTGAAAGGCTTTCATACTGAGTAGAGAGTAAGAGTGAAAAGATTAAGTGTAACACTGAGTATGAATTTACCTTTTGGTGCACCAATCCCACATATAGTAATTTATCCTGAAGATACACCTCCAAAAATATGAAAATACGTATGCACCAGTTCATTTTCTGCATTAATATTTGTAATTTCAAAATACTAGAAAGTGCCTAAGTGCCCAATCATAGGAGACTGACTGAATAAATTATGTCACCTGTATAGAGCTGAGTCCTATGCATCTGAAAAAAGAATGAGCAATATTTCTATGTACTACTGATATGGAGTGAATTCCAAGGGATGCTAAGGTGGCAAAGGCAGAGTACAAAAGAGCATACACAGGACAGCCTGGGTGGCTCAGCCGTTTAGCACCGCCTTCAGCCCAGGGCCTGATCCTGAAGACCCGGGATGGAGTCCCATGTCGGGCTCCCTGCATGGAGCCTGCTTCTGCCTCTGCCTACGTCTCTGCCTCTCTCTCTGTGTCTCTCATAAATAAATAAAAATCTTTAAAAAAAAAAAAAGAGCATATATAGCATGTTACCTTTTGTGTAGGGAACAAATGAAAAAACAAAAACAAAAACAAAACACATACATCTATTTTTCTCTACAAAAAATTAACACATACACAGATAAAGCAGCCATGAAGTTGGTTACCCCTCAGGAGAGAAAGTTTAGGAAGAGAATGATGATTCACTATGCTTTTTTATATAGTTTTGACTTTTCGCGGCCTGTTCATGCTCTACATATTGCAAAGTAAAATAAAATCAATAAGGATGGAAAGGAAGGAAAAAAAATCCCCAAAACTGAAAGCAATATGAAGTAAATAAACTGAATTGTATTTCAAATGAGTACAATAACTGCACTAAGGGGAGACAAAAAGAAAGAAATCCAAAGAACTTACAAGCACAGCAATTAACTAAGTATCCCAATCTTGAGCATGGCTTGGGTGGGATGGAAGTAGGAGAGGGAGTCAATTGCAAACAAATCCCAAAATGTTTTGGTAGACTTGCTTTGTATAGTGGTGTGCATGAAGCAATTCTAAAATCGATTTTAGATGTATGTAATATAGGATTGAGGAAATGAGTAAATACATCCATGATGTTGGGAGCCATATTTCTCACTGTGAAAAATAAGCAAATATGGAAGGGAAAAAATAGGAGATAACCTTGTGGGGGTGGACTGGAGTTGGATGTACTGACATGAGATCCTGATTTCTAAAATATGTCTTTGTATCTATGTGCATGCACATGTATATATATGTTCATGCATGTTTACTAGCCTATTTATAGAAAGGGTCAAGAAACAAATTCATCCCAGTAGAAATAAACATCCCTAGTGCTCACTGTTGGGCTGGCGAGACTGGGAACCTCAAAACGGCCCACCCCAGGCCAGCAACCTCCCAATAACGCTGCCTTGCCGCCCTACCCTAACTTAGCTTACAAAGACCTGTAACCCTTGCCCTAATGGAATGTCGCCCTGCCCCCATCTTCCCACCGAAAACTCTTTATAGACCCCCCTGCGGTTAGCCTGGGCGCGACTTCCCCCGCCTGCTACTTCCTGGCTCTCTCCCTCCCCTGCCGGCCCGTACCCCACTGAGAGCGCGCCCCATTAAAAGCCGGTTTCGTCCTCGGATTGACTTACTTCACTCAGCATAACACCCTCCAGTTCCGTCCACGTGGAAGCAAATGGGGGGTATTTGTCTCTTCTGATGGCTGAGTGATACTCCATTGTATACAGAGACCACATCTTTGGAGAAAGACAAACATTCTATGGTCTCATTCATTTGGGGAATATAAAAAATAGTGAAAGGGAATAAAGGGGAAAGGAGGAAAAAAAGTGGGAAATATCAGAAAGGAAGACAGAACGTGAAGACTCCTAACTCTGGGAAACGAACTAGGGGTGATGGAAGGGGAGGAGGGCGGAGGGTGGGGGTGACTGGGTGACAGTCATTGAGGGGAGCACTTGAAGGGATGAGCACTGGGTGTTATTCTGTATGTTGGCAAATTGAACACCAATAAAAAATAAATTTATTAAAAATAAAATAAACTAAAAAAAATAAAAGCCGGTTTCGGGCAGCCTGGGTAGCTCAGCGGTCCAGCGCCAACTTCAGCCCAGGGCCTGATCCTGGAGACCCGGGATCGGGTCCCACGTCGGGCTCCCTGTGTGGAGCCTGCTTCTCCCTCTGCCTGTGTCTCTGCCTCTCTCTCTCTCTCTCTCTCTCTGTCTCTCTAATAAATAAAATCTTAAAAAAAAAAAAAAAAGCTGCTTTCGACCAACTTTTGCCTGGCCTCTCTGTTCCACTTAACTGATCGGATTAAACCTGACACAATTTTTATTCTAATACCATTCTTCACCTAAAGGAACCAAGGCTCTTTAGAGAAATGGTTGATTCCAAAGCTGTGGCAAATCAGGTACAACTCTGGAATATTTTGTTATGCCAGAAAAGAAAGGATTGCTGAAATAAAACAAAACAAAACAATGGAGGCATGTCACAAGGACTGAAAAGCTAGCTTGAAGGGGCTCCAACAACCTCATCTGGGACTATCTGAGCACCAGAATAAGTGTAGTAATGAATAATAATCCATTGAAATAATAGGAACTGTGATTCTGAATGGACAATAAATCACTAAGTAAATGAAATATCCAGTAATTGTTGTTGTAATAGAATGTTGAGTACCAACCAGTAAATATGGAGAGAAAGTTGGAATTGAGAAATCATCATTTTTCCATCGCTAGTATAAATAATGGATCAGGTGAAAATCATCAATGGATGGTAAATCAGGACTAATTTTTTAAAAAAGATTTTATTTATTTATTCATGAGAGACACACACAGAGAGAGAGAGAGAGAGAGAGGCAGAGACACAGGCAGGGGGAGAAGCAGGCTCCATGCAGGGAGCCCAATGGGGACTCAATCCTGGGACTCCAGGATCATACTCTGGGCCAAAGGCAGGCACTAAACCGCTGAGCCACTCAGGCATCCCTATCAGGAGTAATTTTGATGAGGATGTAATGTCTTATAATTTCTAAGAGTTTCCCAACAGACTGCTCATTTGTTACAAGGGCAAAATCAGTAATTACAGAGCTGAGACAACAGACAACACCTTGACCATGTGATCAAAATTAACCTCACCAGTGAGAGCAGATGGATATCATGGACTTCCAGATGACACATCCTGAGTACACAAAATCATCTATTTGGCAATTCAACTAAGAATGTATGACATGAATCTAATCATGAGGACACATCAGACAAAGCCAAACGCGTAATATTCTATTAAAAAAAAAAAAAAAGAAAGGTTGGAGACAGTTTTCTTCAAAATTTGCTATGCTATAATACCATAGAGTGTGGAAATAGTCCAGATTAAAGGAGGTTAACCAGAGATAACAGCTAAATATAACTCTGCTCTAGACTGGATCCTACAGAGGTGGGGGAATGATGTAAAGGACTTTGTTTGGTCAATAAATGAAACTGGAATATGGATGGTAGATTACATAAAAGTATTATACCAATCTTTAAAAGAAGGCAGAGGCTCATATATCTTAAAATTGTGCTTTATTTTTATCAAATATGTTTCATCATCTCCTGAAATGATTCTGTAAATTTTTCCTTTAAGGTACATTACTACAGCAAATCCCATGTTCTTTTACTTAATGTTCAAACATTTGTGTTCCTAAATTAACCCTTATTGGTTATAATGTATTACTAAAAAGAAAAAAAAAACACCTCTGGATTTGATTTGAAAAATAAACAATAAATAAAGCCAAAAATAAAGAACAAAAAAAAAAACAGAATTCAAGCTTTATTACTTATAGAAATTCAGAAAACCTGACATTTTCAAAAGAATGAGGCTATATATGGTAAGCGTGTGTGTGTGTGTGTGTGTGTGTGTGTGTGTGTGTAAGTGTGCATGGAGAGGTGGGTGTTAAGAACCAAAGGCAGAAAAATCCTACAGACAGAAAAGACTAAGGTGCTAGAAAGAAGCAAGAAGAATATCAGTGAACACAGAAAGTAACCAACTATTAAGACCAATTTGTCATGCTTCCCAATCTATCCACTCATATCTTGCTTTGAGTATGACCTTGCTTCCCACTAGCAAAACACTCTTACTACACTTAATCTTCACAGAGCAATTCACTGAGATCAAAGATTGTGGGAAGATCCTAGCTCTGAACAACGAAGGACTCTATCTACAATGGGAGCTCCCAGAGGAAAGATGCTCTTGTAGTCAAATACTTGCTTTTAGCATGCAAAACAATGGCTCCCACTGAAGGCTCTCCAGAAGAATTTCTGGGAGAGCTTTAAAAACCCATTGCAGCCCAGACCACACTCACCAAAATAACTCAATCAAACCTTCTACCTTGGGACAGGAGCATTCTTAAGTTCAACCAGCCTTAAGAAAAGTGGACTTTTGAGGCTCCATGTCCCCAAATATGAAAGGAGTATTTAAATATAGTAACGCCAAGTAAGCATTATTGAAAACAAAGCCAGTTGCTTTGTTTTATATGAACTGGGTAGTTAATCTTAACAGTTTTACAACAAATTTCTTAAAAACATTTTTTAAAGAGATTTATTTATTCATGAGAGACACACACACACAGAGAGTCAGAGACACAGGCAGAGGGAGAAGCAGACCCCATGCAGGGAGCCTCACATGGGACTCGATCCGGGATCTCCAGGATCATGCCCCAGGCTGAAGGCAGCACTAAACCGCTGAGCCACCAGGGCTGCCCCCCCCAAAAAAAAACATTTTTAAATAACTTCTATAAGATGTAAAAATATTTTGGCCAAACATAAAATCTTGATGTCACTATATTTTCCCATGAGTTTCATATCTAGTGCATCTAAAGCTTCTACCAAATTAAAAAGGTTTGGTTCTATTTGATGCTAAGGTATAAATTCCAAAGCACCCTTGATCTGTAATAGAAAATAATTAAGTCAGCTTATATAAATCCTGTTTAAAAGATTTAATCCAGCATTCAAAATCATGGCTCACAATTAACATAAAATGTTGTCGGGGTGTTGTTTCCCGTGAATATCCTGCTTGAAGAAGGCATTTGGAACAGCTGGAGAGCATCAAACTTGCCAGTCTCAGCAAGATGACATTTTCCCCTATTGATTTATCTGCATTTCATTTCAGAAAAATATACTCAAAAGCAGTCTCTCTCAGAGGTTCTGCATTTCTCAACGCCTACCTATTTCCATGAAAAACCAAAATGTGATTATTTAAGAATTTTCATAGAATAGAATTCTTACCTGCATTAGAGCAGATGACATCTTGAGAATTCTTGCACATCTGGTTACTCTTCTTCTTTGTCAGGTCACAGTGAATTGGGTACTGGCACGCATCCCCAAACCAACCTTCCTGACATTTGCACTTGCCACAGTCACACTTACCATGGCCTGAGGATTTAACAACATCCAGTTAGACTCGAATTATTTTCCAGAGAAATCCATTACTGTAACTGAAAGTCTTTAGAGTGACTTTGGCTCAGGATTGAGCTATAATAAATTCAAACACGGGGCTGAGGGTAATGCTACTGTAGACAGTATAATGAAGTATGTGGATTTTATTGTAATAATCAAAATTGATAAATCATTCTAAACCCATTAATTTATAGAGACACAAAAATAAATAATAAACCAGAAGTTTAATTGTACACTTGGTCAGATAATTTAGACTAAAAAAAAATCTATTAAGCATCTCTACATTTAAGATACAAATGCCCAATAAAAATTATTTCCACTTAACTATATTTTATAACACATAAAACCATCAACTCCAAATAACAAATTTTACATGAAACTCCACTAAACCAAACATTAGCTTAGATTTATTGGAATTTAGAATGTAGTGAAGTTTAATGGATATATGAAATATCATCTTGGAATATGATTGACTCAAAAAATAAATACATATTTTCTTTCTTAATGAGAAAAGTTGGTTCAAGAATCAAAACAATAAGAGCCATAGGCATCTACATCCACAGAAGTTTCTCAATTTTTCATGTTCTCAAATCAACACTGTGCTATTTTTATTGTTGTGACAATTAACTTTATTAAGTTTTAGTTGATGAATCCTACTAATGTTCTTATTAACTACACACTAGTCCTAGCAAAGTGCAGTACATGTACAATACTTGACTCTTGTCCTGAAGTAACTTAAAAAGTTCAAAGTTGAGGTCAATATATAAACAAGATGGTGCTAACTTCAGCCAGAAATGTTTGTTATACCCTGTGTTGAGCAGTATGTCTCCTATAGAAATAAGAAGGGAGAGACCCTCTGAACTTCCTTAACCTTTAACTGAGCCTGGAAAGGTGAGCAGAGTTTGGGCTGCAAGGAGAGTATTCTTGTATTACTCAAAATAATAATGCTATGTCCCAATTCCTGAAGTTCACAGACCACAATGGAATGGAATCATTGATTTAGTGCCAATAGTCATTCAGTGTGGCAGCCAAAATCTACATGATGAGGTCCAGATGGTTGGTCAGAATGAATGGCTCAGAGGTGTCCCATTTGGGCATGTTCAGCAAAGCCTGACTCTATGATTGGTTGTGACTTTAAACTCCTCTGAATATTGCCCAGTCCATAAGAATATTTCTATTCCTGTTGCATTTTTCAAAGTAATTATTCTATTTTGAAAACAAAACCTTGCATGCACCCTAATTGTAATTCATTTTATCCAGTGCACATTACTGTCAAATCGATTGTATCATTTTGCATTCTTGTCTGGCCCTACCTGGTACTGTCAATCTCGGCCAACTTGGTATCTTTTACAAGCATAAGTGATCTCTCCTGCCAACCATCCAGTCTATTTATAAAAGTATTAAGCAAAAATTCTTGAAGTAGCTAAGTCTCTTTTTGTAAAGAAGTATCTTGGTAACTATAATTACTCTTCAATAATATTAGTGTATTAGGTTGAGCCACATGGATCACCACTGTTATTAGTTTAATATCAGCTATTTCTTACAGTCCATCCCAATAAAATGTGGCTTCATACCTATTGAAAAGAAAATAAAAGTAATTTAGAAGATAATGAAATGCAGTAATTATTTGCTGAATCTAGAATAAAATAATACTTGACACTTCTTTTATATTGGATGGGACATCTCAGACTCTGGCTGAAGGTATATATAATAGAAATAATGGGTAATGGTGGGTAGGCCAAAGGTTACATATTTTTTATGGGAGGGGGTAAATCTTAGAAATAAGGGGAAAATAAAGAAATGTACAGATGAAAGGGAGAGACTCCTCTCTCAGACTGACCCAATGAAGCATTAGTAGAAGTAATATTCTAAGGTGCTCATACCCCAAAGTTAGCTCATGGAGGCCCAGGTTCAAAAACTCCTTCCATAAAAGGTTCTGAGGTAATATAAACATGGGAAAGAGAACCACTATATTCTTCTTTTAATAAATCATAATATAAACTAGCACACTGAATTTTCTTCATATCCTGTTGTGAAAAAGCTATTTAAGTTTTACTCAGAATACACAGTATTTCTTACTAGGAAGCCTCTAATAACTTATAACCTTTTTTTTTCTTATAACCTATATGGATTTCCTATACCACACTTAGACAAACACTATATTAGACAATGTGCTTTTAGCTTTTCATTTAGTATCTGGTTAGAGGTGAAGATGACAGCTAGTGTAGGACAGAGTCATCTGCCTTTATATTGTTGTTAAACTTTATACCCAATAAAGGCCTCCTTGATTCACTTTTGCCCATTTAGGAAAATTAATAGAAATCAATTTTTTTACTGTCAAGAATTATCAAGTAATACCCTAACCAACCTAATTTGGAGGTAAATATATAACTATTTTTAAGATAGAAAATTTTCAGACTATCTTTACTCTTTCTCTACAGTTAGTAATTTCTTGAGTAGAGCTCATTTGCTACATTATTGTACTCATATAGTTCATCTTCATGGTCACAAATATGGCTTCAAAAAACATTCCATTTGTCAAAATAATTTACCTGTTGGGAATAGATGGCCCAAGAGAATGACAGCAAAACTCCCGAATCATGAGGCCCATAAGAGGCTCTGATTGCCCAAGGTCAAAGGATGGTCTTTGCTGGTACATGAAATCCTACCCAGCAAAGCATTCACCATTCCAAGCTGTCACCATTCAACTGTCCAGTTCTGTTTCTTCTCAAGATAACTCAATTTCCTCACTTACAAAATGTGGCCTTAAAATGAACAATCCAACATGCTGGCAATAAATCTATTGCCCTTCAAATAAGTTCCCAAGGAACCAGGAGAAAACACACACTTAAAACAAGTATGTCAAAGAAATGCCAAAACAATTCCTACCAAAGTAATAAGGAAGAAAAAGTAAATGGCTATTCTTGTTGCTTCCAGGATTGTCAGTGGTATAGCCAGTCACTAGAAAGGAAAGATGGGCTATAGAGGAAGGTAAAATCCAGTATTTAGTTGATCTCCAGTTCAGGGGAAGCATATGGATGCCTGGCGGCTTTCCACACTCCTTCCCAGAGGTGAGCAAAGCCTTGCCTTGATCTCTGCCAATAAAGGAGAGTTATCCCAGCAAAGACAGAACGAAACTGGGTTTTGTGATTTTTTAACCCCATCACCAGCTCCACCGTTACTTCCAGATCCCTTTTACCTTAGGAATGCAAGGAGGGCACTTGACGGGATGAGCACTGGGTGTTATTTTGTATGTTGGCAAATTGAACACCAATAAAAAATAAATTTATTATTAAAAAATTAAAAAAAATAAAGCAACCAGAAGAAAAAAATGCAAAAGCTCTAACTTATCCACAGGCAGTGGTGATGAATTAATTAGTGCACGAAGGAGAAGTTGATGCTTTTATTTTATTTTTTATTTTATTCTATTTTTTTTTAATTAAAACAAACTGTAGGGCAGCCAGGGTGGCTCAGCGGTTTAGCACCGCCTTCAGCCCCGGGCGCGATCCTGGAGACCCGGGATCAAGTCCCACGTCAGGCTCCCTGCATGGAGCCTGCTTCTCCCTCTGCCTGTGTCTCTGCCTCTCTCTCTCTCTCTCTCTCTCTCTCTCTCTCTCTGTGTGTGTGTGTGTCTCATGAATGAATGAATGAATGAATGAATAAATAAGTCTGTAAACAAATGGAAATACTCGACCAATATTGAAGGACTTTTTAAAAAGTCAACTAACCATTTGTATATACTAATGAAAAATAATTGTACTTTTCTTTTCCAAATAAGAAAAATACTAATAAAAACAAAGGGGTCAGCACCAAACTCTCCTCCAAGTCTACAGATACTTTGGATACCTTGGATTTCTTTGGATACTTTGGATAAAAACAAACTCCCAAAACGAATATGCCCATCAGATTAGCTATACATCTTTGGTTTCAAGTCTTAAAAGGTAAAAAAATAGTTAGATAATAGATGTATAGGTAGGCAGGTAATAGGAATAAGATGAATGAATAAAGAAGATGTGGTATATGTATTCAACAAAATGTTAGTCACCAGAAAGAAGGAAACCCTGCTATTTGGGACAACAAGGCTGGCTCTTGAGGGCATTATGCTAAAGCAGAAAGAGAAAGACAAAAACTGTATGATCTCACTTCTATGTAGGAATCTTTAAAAAAAAAAAAAAAAAGCCCAACTAAACAAACAAAAAATCGCAAGCACATAAAAAAAAAGAGATCTGGTTTGTGGTTTCCAGAGGCAGGGGCTCAGGGAGGGAGTCAGAGGAAGGTGACATCAATACGTACAAAGTTCCAGTTAGAATAAGTACTTGGTGTATAACGTACAACACGAGGACTATAGTTGGCACTGCTGTATGGTATATGTGAAAATTGTTGAGAATGAATCCTCAGAGTTCTCATTACAAGAGGAAAAAAAACCATTGTTTTTGTACCTATATAAGATGATGGATGGTCATCATTTCCCAATGGATGTAAGTCAAGACATCATGCACCAAACTTACACTGTACTGTGTGTCAATTATATCACAACAAAACAAAAAATCCTGATTATTAATTATTATTTCATGAATCTTATCATTTATTTTTAACATCTAGATGTTAAAAAATGATTCTTTCTGGGGGTCAAATAAGCTAGTGGCAAAGCATTCTAGAGCCTCATGGTTACCTTGAAACAGATATTTTAATTTGAGCACTCAATTGGCCCTATGAATCTATTTGCTTTGGTCAAATATGTAAATCCCCATAACTTGCATTGTGTCCTATTTGCGCAAATGAGCTCACTTAATAAGAGACATACTCAAGTTTTCTCCTATTCTTTCTGAGCCACTATAAATTCCATCACCTTCTCATGTATAAGAAACAAAATAACTAACTATGCCACATCTAGAATTCTAAGAAAAGAGTGTGAAAGGATCCTATATCTACTATTACAGTTATGTCACAATTTGCAATAGAAACTTGGCACTTTC